TAGGGAGAAGCAGTGGCACATCCTGGGTGTTGAACACACTTTGGACAATGATGTGATGCATTTGAGGTGGGGCTTGTAAGGGGATCTAGAGAACGTGACAAGAAGTAGCTGATGAGCCATATTCCAAGAGCAGAGATCAATGGCTGGTGGGTTGCCAATGGCCAGTGGTCAAAGGGATGGGCTCCTTCCCATCAAAGGCTCTCTGTGTGTGCTCCTCAGTGATGAGCACAAAAGAATGTGAGGCTACCTGATCAATTCATGGATGACATCACAATGAAAATGTGTTGGAGGACCAGGCAAGAATTCAAATGAACTTGTCAAAGCTGAAGTGGAAGAAGAAGCTGAAATCAGCCTCTATCTCAAGGACAGGGCTCAGAGTGATCGCTGTGGGAACCACGGCTTGGGAGCAGTTCTGCAAAAACCATCCCAGAGTTACACCAGCCCACAGGCTGCACGTGAGTCAACATCATCTTCATCATCATGGCGTGAGGAAAGCAACTGCATCAGCTTGGGCTGGACAGAGGGGAAGAAGAAAGGAGAAGCAATCCTTCCCATCTGCTCTGGGCCACGGCCCCACGTACACTCTGGGGTGTTCCCTCTCCAGAGGCTGCAAGGAAAGCAAGGAGGACCTTGGGCTGGTCAGTCTGGAAAATAGGAGACGCTTGAGGCTGGCCATTGAGGCACAGAAAACAACAGCTGAATGAGCCTCTGTGCCCATGGTGGACACTGACCACTGCTGAGGCTGAACAGCAAGAAGCCCCTGGAGAAGGGAAGGTGCCAGAAGTTGTGTGACCTTGACAAGGAGCTGGATTTGATGGAAAGTAAATTTCTGCTGGGAATGTGTGCTGGGGCCAGGTGGATTTCAAGGCCTGGGAGCTTTCACAAAGCCAGGCTCAGTTTTCCCCCTTTTTTCCTTTCATAGTTTTCTAAGCTTTCAAGCAGGTTCATTCAGCTGGGAGCCCTGGCCTTTCTGCTCTGCTTTGCCACACAACTCTTGGGGAGAAGCCTCAGGGAGAGGGGTGTTTGTTTAGAAGAGGTAGAACACAGAAATGCTCAAAATCTAATGGTCCATCACTGTCATGGTGTCCAAGACCCTGCAGAATTCAGCCCTGATCTGCCATGACAGGCTGTTGTCTTCCAGCAGAGCAAGAGGCAGCACTGAGCTAATTAATTGCATGATATGGAAAATTCTGAAGAAAGAGACTTGCACTCTCTGCTCATACCCCCAGACTCATGTGTGGTTGATCCCCAGGGTCTCATTGGTCCCACAGAGCTGTTCCCACAGAATCACTAAGGCTAGAAAAAGACCTCCAAGACCATCAAGTTCCACCTTTGACCAGATGCCACCTCATCAACCAGACCACAGCACTAAGAGCCATCACACTGTGTCAATGAAACAGCCACCACATGTCACTGATCTGGGACAGCAACAGCCACAAAACCACAAGCAGCTGCACCAAGGAGCATCTTCCCTTGCAGGTTGTCAGGGGTCGCTGATTTAACCCATCTCCTGGTGATACAGAGAAGCCAAACCCATGGTGAAAGCCAAATCCCAAAACACCCTGGTGTAAGCTGGAGCAGGCAGGGATCCAGTGGGGAGCATTCGTGCTGTTGGCAGCTCAGCTCTGAAAGCCAAGGCAACGATCCCTTGGGGACTGAGCCTCCTGCACGGCAGGGTGCAGGTGCAGAGGGGGTTCCTGTAGGGATCCACACGCTGCTCTCACCTTTAGGACAAAGGTGTTGTCTTTGTCAGGCATCTCCAGGGGCATGGTGGTGCGCACCTCGATGATGGCCGACAGCGGGATGCTCACCTTGGGTTTGGAGGCCTGAGAAAAGGAAAAAAAAATAGCAAAGAAAATAAATGAAAAAGAAATCAATGAATTTAAAAAAAAAAAAGTCACTCAATTGAATCAAACTGTCCCTGGGGACAATGCAGCAGGGCTCTCAGAGGCAAGATCAGCTCAGCCTGTGTGGTTATTACAGAGGGGGAATAAACAGCATTGATTTCCCTCCCGTGCCTGATAACTCTGAGCTCTGTGAATTAAACCAAGAGGAGGCCCAGTGGAAGACAGGGAGGTGCTTTTAACTGCCAAACCACCCTCCGTGCTCCAGCGCAGGCTGATGTGCCAGCTCTGCCAACACCACTTAATTTCTCTCCATTTTCAACCCTCTCCCGATGGAGAGAGCTGTGCTATCTGATGGGGGATGCTGCCCATGCAGAAAGCAGCCCCGTTTCTCCAGCACAGGAGCAGCATTTCAACCAAGCAGCTACAACACAGCAGCCTCAGCCATGCAGGGAATTTTAATTACATTAAAATCAAGAAAAATGAATTTCCCCCAGGGCCCCTGGCACCCGCCGGAGCCTCGGTGGGGAGGCAAGACCCGGTGCCTCCCACTCCAAGTGTTTGCTGAGCAACAAATTCCCCAGATATTTGTTTTAATTATAACAAATCCCCACAAAGGAGCTCGTGGAGCTGCTCTCCAGGGCTGGTCCCCTCCAGGGCTCTGGGATTTGGAGCACTGCAGCTGCAGGAAGCAGAGATGAGATTTAGTCACCAAAACCTGCGCCTGGTGCCATGGATGCAGTGGGTGGGATGAGGCCAGCAAGGAGCTCCAGGCTGCAAGTTACCAATAACGGGCTCAGTTCCCATTTTTATTGGGAAATAAAAATAAATAAATCCAAGACAGAACAGAAACTGCTTTTTTCCCTTGCAGGATGTTTCGTTTCTGCCAGCCCCAGAGCCCCAGTGCTGCCTGCAGACACGTCTCAGCCGTGCAAGGCTCTGCCCATCCCTGGGGAATTTTTCCATCTTGGTGTTTGCACAGGAGAAGGTCAGAAAGGAAGCAGCAGCTGCTTCGAAAGGAAAGGAGACAAGGTGATAATTCACCCCTGAGCTAGAGAAGGGTCTTAGAATCACAGAATGATTTGGGTTGGAAGGGACCTTAAAGATCATCTCATTCCAACCCCCTCCTCTCCAGGAGGGCTCTTCCCTTTAAAGGTTTACAGACATGGCCATAGTTTTTGTAGGGTCTATGTAAAAACAAAGCTGTGGGCTGCTGAAGCAAAATGCAGTTTTCTTCCAGCTGTGCCAGACTGGTGCCACTTTTACATTTGCCAGATGGAAAGCAAGATGGGATGAGAGGAGAAAGCTGTAAACCAAAGTGGGGCGTGATTATAACAGAAGAGCAGACAATGTTCATAAAAGTTGCTATAAAATAATTTCAAAATTGATTTTTAGAGGCAAATCAAGATACACTAAAAAAGGAATCCCTCTATGAGCTCTCTCTTAAGTGTTTTAAGAGCAGCAGTTGTTCCATTTTAACCCAAGTTTATTTTCTCTTTGGTGCAGCTGATACACCAGGCTTCATCAGATCCTCCATCCACAGAATGGGTTGGGTTGGAAGGAATCCTTTTCCACCCCCTGCCATGGGCAAGGATGCCTTCCACTAGCCCAGGTTGCTCCAACCTGGCCTTGGGCACTTCCAGGGCAGCCACAGCTTCTCTGGGCACTCTGTGCCAGGGCCTCAGCACCCTCACAGGGAAGAATTTCCCCCGTGTCCCACCTATTGCTACTCTCTTTCAATTTAAAGCCATTCCCCCCTGTCCTGTCACTCTCCCCAGCTCTCCCACAGGCTCCCTAGTGGGTACCATGGACACTGGGGTTGTTTCCTTCCAGCCAGACCCCATTCCTGGGCTGGGGAAGCCCCCAGTCCAGCCCAGAGCAATGCCCACCATCCGTACCCATGCTGGGCTGCTCTCCAGAGAGATGCACTTGAGTTCAAACTCATGTTTTATATTTTCTCAAAAGGTGAGAGGCACAGACCGACACCAAGAGTGCAAGGTTCATTTTGGCCTGCAGGTTGGGTGGGTTTCAAGCACATTTTCCCATCCATTTGCACCTCAGCCACACAGCACCAGATCTCCCTCTGGACCAGAGCTGGATTTCAGCCCAGCTCAGTGGTGGAAACAAAAAAAGCCCCAAAACCAAAGCCCAACTGCTGCTTGAATTTCTCATAAAAACAACAGTGAACAAAAGCCAGGACTTACCTTTGGGGGGACATAAAACTCCAGGAGGAACCTCTCTCCTTCCACTTTCACCGCCTTGCGGAGCAGGAGGCGGCACTTCTGCCACTGCGAGCTGCCCACACAGTTCGTGTCATCGGCCACCATGTAGCGCAGCGTCCCCTCCCTCTGGATGTCCACCAGCTCCACCTTGGACGAGGGCACCTTGGACAGGCGCAGCTTGTATGTCCATTTCTCCCGAGGGTCCCCAGGCTCCTTGCCCCCCGCCGCCCACGGCTCCCTCTCGGCTCTGCGGCCGCCCAGAGCGGCCTCGGCGCCCGGCTCCGGAGAGGATTTGCGGTGCCACATCTCCTTCATGCCATCCACCACACACAGGCTCATGTTCCTCAGGGAGAAGCCTTTCTTGAACTTGGGCTTGGCAGCAGCGTGGATGGAGACGTCCTCCGAGCTGCGGGACTGCCCGTAGGAGGAGACCTTGTGAGCCTGCACCTGCTGGGCTGGGGTCAGGTACCGGCTGGCGCCCAGCGGGGCGTCCATGCTGTCCAGAGACTCCGTGGACGTCTCCTCCTTCCTCGGGGTGACCTCCCGCCCGTAGGGGACGTGGCAGTTCTGCAGCCCCACGAAGGGCACGATGTTGTACTTGGTGGGCGAGTCAGACACGAACACCCGGCTGACCTCCAGGCTGAAGATGTCCAGGAAGTTGGCGGTGAAATGGTGGGAGAAGGAGGTCTCTGCCCCCGGGGTGTCGTAGTGGGGGTTCTCCTTCAGGAACTGGCAGAACTTCTGGGCGAAGTCCACGGCGGCTGCCTGGGCGTGCAGCTTGCAGAACTCCCTCCAGTCAGGGAGCGGGGAGGAGGGCTCCTGGCACAGGGCATCGCCGTTCATGGCTGCCCCATTCCACCTGCCGGCGGGCTGCGGGCAAGGACACGGCCTGAGAGTGGCACAGACAGGGACAGCCCAGCCTGTTCCCCAAAAACAGGGACACTGGCAACCCGTCCTGTCCCCCAAACACAGGGACACGGGCAACCCAGCCTGTCCCCCAAAAACAGGGACACGGGCAACCCAGCCTGCCCCCCAAAACTGAGGGACATGGACATCCCAGCCTGTCCCCCAAAAGTTGAGACACAGGCAACCCATGGACACGGGCAACCCGTCCTGTCCCCCAAACACAGGGACACTGGCAACCCAGCCTGTCCCCTAAAAATGAGGGCCATGGACATCCCAGCCTGTTCTCCAAAAACAGGGACATGGACAACCCACCCTGCTCTTCCAAATGGGGACACGGACAATCCATCTGTCCCCCAAAAACAGGGACACAGACAACCCAGCCTCTCCCCCAAATCAGGGACATGGATGACCTGCCCTGCCCTCTCACATGGGGACATGGACAACCCATCCTGTCCTCCAAAAACAGAGACATGGACATCCCATCCTGTCCCCCAAAAACAGGGACACGGACAACCCAGCCTGTCCCCCAAAAAGAGAGACATGGAAACCCCATCCTGTCCCCCAAAAACAGGGACACGGACAACCCAGCCTGTCCCCCAAAAACAGGGACACGGACACCCCATCCTGTCCCCCAAATGGGGACATGGACAACCTGCCCTGACCCCCAAAATGGGTTCACCCCTTGCCATGATGCCACAGCTGATCTGCAGTTCCAGTGCAAAGGAAAATGCTGTGGGAAGGTGTCTGTGTGTCGCTCTCTCTCCACCTCATCCACTAGGAAAAAATCTTGGCCCTGGCAGCAGCCATAAATTGTACTTATTTTACGATTATGACCATGCAAAAGCATTATTGATTTCTCATGAAACCGCTAAGGAGTCCCCGAGTGGAGGAGCCCAGGGGCGTTTGCCTGCAGGATTCCTCTCACTGTGTGTCTGCCTGGGCATGGCACAGCTCTTCACAGGGGGAGGGAGCACTGGGAGTCCTGGAAGTGTCCAGCACCCTCCCCTCTGCACCCCACAGCTGGTCCTTCTCTTTCTCTCCAGTCTCTATTTCTGCCCTCATCCTTTGCCACATCAGTTTTGGGATTTTGCCCTCCCTGCTGAGCATCAGCTGACAGAGAGCCCAGGACAGGGCCTCAGCAGAGGTGGGCTACAGGGGTAAAAGGAACAGAAGCCAGACCCAGGAGCACACCAGAAGATGACAGGAGCTGCAGACCAGACCTGTGGGCCCTTAGGACAGGCACCACTTTGCTCAAGCTCCACACTGGTCCTTCTCCCAGTGGGTGTGAGACTGGCAGGGCCCGTGTACAGTCCAGCTTGGTGCTCATCATTATGCACTTCCCAAATCTCTACCTGACTCTGGGCAGCATGAACAGCCTCCCCTGGGGGACCCCAGCATGACTGCATCTCAAAAATCACCTCTGGGTGCCAGAACTGCTCCTGGCTGCTGGTGGGCCTTGGCTGGGGCACTGCTGAACCCATGACCCCAAACATCTGTCCCTGTGACCAGACACCTTCCTTCCTCCACTCCAAGTTTGGCAAATGCACCTCAACTGCTCAAACACCGAGCCCAAGGGTGCCTGGCAGGGATTGTGCCTGTGGGATCCAGTTCTGGAAGGGCAGGACAGTTCCCCCAGGTTTTGCTGCTCTCCATTCACAGAGCAGCTCTTTCCCTGGATTTTGCTGCTCTCCATTCACAGAGCAGCTCTTTCCCTGGATTTTGCTGCTCTCCATTCACAGAGCAGCCCTTTTGCTGGCGAGGGATTACTCCTGCTAATAAATCACGCGCCGTACCCCGCCAGCAGCTTACACGGCCAGTAATTAATTACTGCTCGGATGAACGGCACCAGCCACGGATCAGGGCGGGCACTGGGGACTGGCATAACCTGCTCCTTATCCTCCAGACCCCAGCCATGTCATCCCCAGACCCCAGGCAGGGCTGAGCCCTGAAGGCTGGGATTCAGAGCAGCAGCTGTGGCCAGGAGCTGGTTGCCATACCCCCGGCACATCCCTATGGAGGGGAGCTCTCTGGGAGCACCTCCATCCCAGGAAGGGGCTCTCAACCCCCCCAAACACTGAGAAACCCACACAGCCAACAAAACCCCACCAGAAACATGATCCATGTGGCATTTCCTCACCTTTAAGGCAAGGATGCTGTGCCAAGGAGGCACTGAGGACAGGCTACACACGGGCCTGCACTGGCTCCTCACATCCCACAACAGCAGCAGAGCTCCAGCTCCTGCAGAAATCCCTGGCAAAGCTCTCCCCAGCATCACAGGGATTTCCCGGAGACCTGAGCAGGGAGCCATGCCAGCTGGGAAAAAACCCATCCCTGCAGTTCAGGAGCAGCCTCTGAATTTCCCCGAGAGACATCAGCAAAGCAGCAGAAAATGCAAAGCTGTTTGTTACCCGCCCAGCAAATGAAATTCCTAATTATCCATCCATCACCAAGCAGAGGATTTAAAGACTCTGCCCTTTGAATTAAAAATTCACAACTCCAGCTCTGCCATGGCCCAGGAGCTGCCCTGGCACCAAGCCATGGGCCAGGAGCACTTGGGCTCAGGGAGAAAAGGGAGATGAAAAGGAGTCTCCTGCTGCCAATCCAAGCAGTGACAGCCAGAGCAAGGGAGAGGGGAAGGGTGCAAAGGAAAAAGAGCAGGAAGGGGCTTCTGGGGGAAAGAGAAAGCCCCATGGCGATGGGGTTATTTGCATCTGCCCAGGGTGTTGAGCCCCGGGGCTCTGCTGGTTTCCCTCCCATGAATTTGGGGGAAAACACAGCCCCCCATCCCTCTCTCCAGCAGGGACTGGTGCTCAGGGCCTGCCTGTTTGAAACCAAGGATGGCAAGCTAACAGACTCTGAGAGGTTAAGAGGGGGAAAAAAAAGAAGAAAAAGAAAAAAAAAAGGCACTTCAAAAAAGATAAAGCCCCAAACAAAAAGCCTCAAGGAGATCCAGGCATGGCAGCCGGGCTCAGGCTCGGAGAGGCGCACGCAGAGGCATCACAGCATCTTCCTTTCATCTGCATGGGGATGACAGACTTTAAAAGGCCAATTTATAAAAATGAAGCCTAGAGGAGAGACATCTGGCAGGTCTGAGGAGGCGGCGGCGGGGATTACTAACCCTGTGCCACATATCCAACCCCCCTGCCCAGAGCACAGCCAGCAGCCCCCAGCCAGGATCCAACAGCACGGCCTGGAGTCATGGGGTGGTTTAAGGGCAGCCCCTGGGACTGCAGAGCCATCCCCGCCCCTGACTCACCTGATTTCTGCAGGAAGCAGGCTCCCAATTATCTGTGTAGATTTACCTTTAATCTGGATGCCTGCACTCCCCTCCATGCCAACAGCTCTGCCCCACTTCTTGAAATAACTTATCATGCCACAGACAGCATCCCCGGGCAGAGCGCTGGAAGCGGAGACGAAAATAAGCTCACAGTGAAAATAAGCAGCAAAGCTGCAACTGCTTTCTGGAAAGGGCCATCCCCTGCCAGCCCAGCTTGCCGAGGCTGCAGCACACTCCAGGCACCTTTCCAAAGAGCCAGATCCCTTTGGAAGTGCCATCAGCCCACTCCAGAAGTGGCTCAGGGGCCACAGCCTTGAGTCCCTGGCCTGGGTGACACAAGAGGACAGAAAAATAAATATACAAAGTGGGGTGGTTTGTGAAGGAGCCATGGAGGGGCAACCACAGCATCAGGCTGGTGACAGGCTCCTAACCCACCTGCAAACTCCTCCCAGGGCAGAGCTGTGCCTGCTGCCTCGGTCATTTGGGAAACTGAGGCAAAACTTAAGAAGAGAAGATAAAAATAAAGAACTTCTGGTGTTTGCCAAGTGGAAACCCAGGCTGGGATGGCAGGTGAGAGCCAGCTGCGGGCAGTGATTTGGGACACCCCTCCCACCAAGGTGTGCTGAGGCATCCCCTGCTCCGGGGGGGGACACACAGAATACTCTGAAAGCCTAAGTACAGCTACTGACCTCAAGAAGAAATGAAATTTAAACTGTCAGCAGAAGCGCAGGAGACCATAAAAAAACAACTCCCCGGTGAAGCAGGAGTCAGGGAGCAACAACAAAGCCACTGGGATTTGCTGAACCAGAGGCGTGGGGAGGAACCAGCATCTAATGAGGTGTTAATAACCCGAATGCGCAGCACCGGTCATGGGATGGCCAGCACAGCCTGCCCGGCACGGCTGGCTCTGATGGCTTTATTTAAGGAAACAACCCTAATAAAGAGATGTTTCCCTTCCGCCCAGCGCAGCGCAGCCAGGCTGGGACAAAGTGATCCGAAACTGAGCGGGGAAAAGCACTGTGTGCTGGAGGATGTGAGCAGCGAGCTGCATCCTTCCATCCATCCCTCCATCCATCCCTCCATCCACCTGCAGCTGTGCTGGGAACTGCCGGCTCCACACCAGAGAGCAACGGGAAAGGGAAAGGCAGCACAGGAGGCAAAGCCTGGCTCCTGGGCAAGGAGATCCCGGCCCAGCCCCGGCTGTCCCAGCCCTGCAAGGCTGCTCGGTTTCCAGCAAGATCGATGCCACTCAAAGCCCCAGCTGGTCACCGCGATCCCGCGGGAGTGACATGAGGAAACCCAGGCACCTGCTCGCCCAGAAAAGCGCCTGACCTAAGCGTGCCATGCCAGAGGAGATCCCCGAGTCACGAGCAGGTCGCAGAGCAAGGCGATACCCCCGGCGATGCTGCTGGCAGGCAGCTCTGGCACACGGGCAGCTCCCGCACAAAGCCCCGGGACAACGAGGTTCATTTCTTGCCCCTTTTCTCTCTTCAAGATGAGTCCCATCAGCACCTCCACCCCAGAACCTTGTCCTGGGGAAGGGGAGAGCGGGGCAGAGCGAGCAGGCTCAGACTGATCATCATCCCTGCTCCTGCTGTGCAAGCATGAGGGGTGCCTGGAGCTGATCTCCCCCATCCCACAGCTGAGATCTGAAGCCTGACCTCCTCCCTCTGGCACCTCCAGGACCCTTCCCAGCCCTGCAGAGCTTTAAAGGCATGCAGAGGCTGAGCTGAAGAAGAGAAAACCAAAAGGAACAAAAGCAGAAGCCACCTTTTGCTTTCACGCCCCCCAGACCCCTGACCAAGCCCTGGTGTGGGAGAAGCTGATTGCTCTCCATGCTCCTCAGTACTCCATGTGCTATTTATACTATTGTGATCTTAAATCAGACTGCCTGTCTGAACCAGATAGAAATGGAAACATGCCTTGTTTCTCTCATTTGCTGGTCATCCCACTAAAGTATTAATTGAACAGCATTTTGGCCTTAAATTTTATAGTCAAACCACCTGCCTTGAACCAGTCCCTCAGCAGGAGCACGCTTTAACTCCCTGCCCAGATGCACTTCAGGGTCCACCTGTCACCTGCAGCTTAGAAAACATTTTTCTGGAGTGAAAAGGCTCCTTGTGCCTTTTTCTGCTGCCCAGTGAGGGGTCCCACTGGCCAGCCCAGCTCTCAAAAAGGATGCCCCAAAGCACTCAGTAGTGCTGAGTGGCCAGGACAAGGTTTTGGGGTGCAGGTGCTGATGGGACTCAGCTTCAAAAGAGAAAATGGGCAAGAAATGAGCCTTTCCTCCTCTTGCACATAAGGGTGCCCCCACAGCTCAGTGTGGTATTCTGATTCCAGCCCCACAGGAACCAATGCTCCTGAAAATGAGCAGATGGGCCCATCAGAGCCCCCAGTAAAACCTGAGATTTTCTCCATGTCCCACTGCTCTGACCATCCCACAGGGCTGTTCCTCTCCCTCCCCTCCAAAATCCCCCGCAGTGGATGTTGTACTTCCTGTGCTGACAGCTGCTGGAAAATAAAGACAAGTTCATAGATAAGATCCACTGGATCTTAGATAATCTTTTCTCTGAGTAATTCCATCCAGCTTCTAGGGAGCCACTCTGCCAGCCCACACATGGACATCACCCAAGCCACTCAACCCACTGGTGTTGTGGGACATCTCAGCCATGGGGACAGGGTCCCCAGGGTGCAGTGACAATGATCAGCAAAGCTTTGGTGCATCTGGGCATCACAAATGCAGCTCGGGGCTTGGAGGCTGTGTGCTGTGTCTGGGAATAAAGCACAGACACCCCCACAATGGCCCATAGGAAGAGCTATTGGAAAAATGAAATAAATTAACCCCAGAGCTTTAGGTGAAGGAGGTCAGAGGCTGTTGTCCATCCCCCCTCACTCGGATGCCTCCTCACGTGCCTGTCTCCAGCCAGAGAGCTTCCCACAGAAAACTACCCAGTCCAAAGTCTATTTTTAACCACCACAATAGCAGAGCCTCCCCCGAGGAGCAGCAGAAGCCCTGTCCCCAACCGAGCAATCTCACATTTCCCTCGCTAAGCCTCGATTTCCTTCCGCCCCTCAGCCCACAGCAAAACCCTTCTCCTCCTCCTCCTCTTGCCTTCCCATCCTTGGAAAACTATTTGCACATCCATCCATCCATGCATGCATGCATCCCCCTCCGGGCTGGCGTGCTGTGGGTGCAGTGTCCTGCACACCTGTTACACATTAACCACTGCCCTGGCACCTGTGGGCAGACCCTTCCTGCCACAGAAATGCCAAACTGCAGCAGATCCATCAGCTGTGCTGTTCTGCTCAGCCCCCTCCCCTGGAGGCACCCCAAACTCTGGGGATTTGAAGAAAAAGCCCTGCAACATCAACCCAGCTGCACTTCCCAAAGCAAGTGCAAACTCTTTAGAAGAATTTACTCTTACCCTGGAAATTGCTGTGCCATGGAGGAGCTCTTTGGGGGTTTTGGGGAGAGAGCTGAGTGGATGCTCAACAAAGCAAATCCTGATGGATACAGCACAGCCATCACTGGGGATCCCCCATCATTAGGTCAGAGAAACCCCTAAGATTGTTTTTCAATTACAGCACATAATAAACATGAGATAAAGTTACGCAGTTCTGTAGGAAATTTTCTTATTATGTTTTTTTTTACGTTGCAGATCTAATTCCCCACACGCATCACTGTCTCATACCCGCCTGCAAACAGCCTTAAACTGCTGCCTAATGGTATCTGAGCTGGGGAAATTCAATTCTACCCAGCGCCTCACCCAGGACTGCTACAATCACTGCTAATTGCTTAAGTGGTGTATTAAGCAAAATAAAAATTCCAGTGGGCTTTGAACCCCCCCCCCCCACCAGATGATGCCAAAACACCCTGCTACAGCTGCCAACCCTGGCTGGAGATCCAACCTCAAGTATCTTTTTTCTCTTCACTGTGCAGGGATGCTCCTGGGCAGGCAGAGCTTCGTACCCAGCACGGCCACGGCCACACCAGAGGGATCCACAGGCTGTGTCCAGCTTTGCCATCCCTCTTTCCAGGGTTCTGAGGTGCCACTGCAGTGCCTCTCCTGCCCCAGGGTGCAAATGCTGCCAGGACCCAGTGAAGCAGGGCACAAACATCTGCCCAGTGGGACCCTGGGGTGATGCACACTGGGTCCCTCTCCTGTGGGTTTGGATGGATGTGGGGCTCCTGTCAAGTCTCATCCCAAACCCAGACCTTGCATGAGAGCAAGCAGATTCTCCAAGCCCTTCTGCTTTTCCCTTGAGCAAAAATCAGGTGTGGGATGCAGTTTTAGGCATGTTCTCTCCTCCTCTCCACTGTGGTGGAGCCAGCTGGGATTGAGTTTCTGGGAGCACCCCTGGGGGCAGGGCCCCCATGTTCCCTCTGCCTGCACAAGGACGTGGATCACTGAGCCAGGGACAAGTCTCCAACCCTGTCCCAGCACCTCACTGGCATCCACGGGCAGGGAAAGCAGCTGAGGTCAAGTGAGGGCAGCCACAGGCAGGAGGGGAACTGTGCAGGAACCTCGGGGCTGGAGGCAGTGCCCTGGGGCATCCCAGCCAGCCTGAGTCAGCAGGGCCACAGATGTGCAACCATCATCTGGTGTCTCTGCTTCTGCTGGGAAGAAGAAGAGGAGGAGGAAGAGGAAAGGCACCCGCCAGGAACATCCTCATCTTGAAGAAACGGGTGTTCTGCCTCCAAGGAGGAAGGACAGGAGGAGGCTGGACAAGACCACGCTGCCATGAGGGTGCTCACAGTCCAGGAGAAGAGGGGACAGACCTCAGATCAGCCAGAAGAGGCAGCCCTGCAGTCAAGCAGCCACTGCAGCCCTGAACCAGCTGAGGAATGAGGGGATTTTAACCCCAAAGCCTTCACCAGACAGGGATGGGCACCAGGGCTGACCCATGCCCCTGGTGGCACAGGAGTCTGGTCACTGAGCTGGGTGAGACACCAGGCAGGGCTGGCAAACCT